TCTATTTACCCCGGGTGACCAATCTGGCCACAGGAAAGGTCCCCTCTGCCACATCCACTCTCCTTCCTCATTATGCCTTGCCTCCAACTTGCTCCCTCTTTCCCTAGCATGGAGTAAGGTTAGGGAGGGCAACTGTGTAGGAGGCAGCTCCAACTTTCTGCTTGCAGAAAGATCCCCTGCCGGGGGGATTCTCCACCAGCTATCTCTGTCTAATTTAAGGCAACTTTCCCCTGCTTACATGGTGTGCGCAGGCCTTAGAGGATAAAGACACCAGCCATGTCTCTTCAACCTGAGATTGAGAAGTAGGTCACTGATTTGTGAAGGGTTTATCTCTGCTTGATCAAATGTTTTTTTGTATTATTGACAAAGTCCTGGCTGGGATGATTTAGTTGGGGATTGGTCTTGCTTTGAGCAGGGGGTTGAACTAGATGACCCTCTAAGGTCCCTTCCAACCCTGATATTCTATGATTCTTTTTTATTAAATGGCTGAATTCACCGATGCTTTTAACCTTGTGGAAGTGAGCTTTGTGTCAGAGCCTGGAGCCAGGCAGAGTTTTGTGTAAATTTCCCAATGCAGTTCTGGCAAAACACCTTCACCCTGCTGTGCACCACCTTCACTGTTCCAAAACCTAACCCCTACACACCACTTCCAAATGCATCTTCATTCTGTCCTTTAAAGTGTAAGGCCCACACACAACTCTTGCAACCACATCGCTCCTGAGTTGTACCACCCCAGTTTGTTCTAGCCCTGGGCTTCTCACCTAATTACATGAAGGCTTTTGTGCTGTGCACAAAATCAACTGGAACTAGATTGTCATTGTGTAATTAATTTCACTCACAATCTACACCAGACCCAATTAATGGACAGTGGTGAAAAATTTGTGCATTAACTTTGCCTACCAGCCCTTTAGCATCTGAGTTTTCATGAGAGTACAGGGCACTTTCACTGTTTCTTCAGAACTGAAGTTGGGAACCTCAAATACACTGATGGCTTCCACAGATCTTAAAAGAGAATGTTATTCAGAAATCACCTGATACATCATCATTGCTCTCAGGTTCCTCAATCTTCTCATTTGCATCCAGGTCAATACGTTCCTCCTTGTTGTTCCTCAGAGACCAGCACAAGCGGTAAAGCTGCCATTAAACAAAATGAGTTTACAATGTTGCAAGCCTTAGAATGCTGAGATCAGTACGTTGAGATCAGTATAGGATTTGGGGGGTCTCATGAATGTTTGCTAAATAATATTCAGGGATTATTAGGGATCTTGTAAGACTGGGACAGATAGTATAGGAGACTACTCCTCTTTCCCTTTCTTAACACCTTCATCCCTTAAATCTTTGCTACAACGCACAATATGCACCACCTATTGTGTGTCTCTCTCAGAAATCAAATTCCCTTCTTATTGTGTATTTTTGCGCTACAGTAGAACCTCAGCATTACGAACACCTCAGGTCGTTCGTAACTCTGAAATGTTTGTAATTCTGAACAAAATGTTATAGTTGTTCTTTAAAAAGTTTACAAATGAACATTGACTTAATACAGCTTTGAAACTTTACTAAACACAAGAAAAATACTTTTAACCATCTTAATTTAAATGAAACAAGCAAAGAAACAGTTTTGTTACCTTGTCAAATCTTTTTTTTTAAAACTCTCTCTTTAAGAAGTTTACATTGAATACAGTACAGTACTTCATTGCCTTTTTTTTTTTTCCTCTTTGCTGTTGCCATATTGCATACATCCCGTTCCAAATGAGGTGTGTGGTTGACTGGTCAATTCATAACTCTGGTGTTCATAACACTGAGGTTCCACTGTATATAATGTCTTCAAGGTGTTAGTAGTTACAGAAAGAACAGGAGTACTTGTGGCACCTTAGGCCAGGTCTACACTCCCCCCCTAATTCGAGCTAAGGTACGCTTCGTCAGCTACGTGAATAACGTAGCTGAAGT